TTACTAACTGTGTCTAGGGCTCAGTGACAATAGTTCATCACTGAGTGCTCGGGCACCACCAGGGTTGACAGGTCCTCTTTGGCCACTGGCGGAGGGTAGGGAGCTTTGCAAAGCGCCTGTATGAGCATGCTCATCACTTTAAACCGAGGAGGTACCAAGGTGTGCAGGGATTTCACTGGACCCCCCTGCAAATCTGACAGTTCTGTTCTTTGGAACAATGTTTCTTGATTACACTTCTTTAGGGAATTTATTTTGGGAAGGAAGGGGGAGTCATGCTGGAGGAAGCGGCACACTGCAAAGCACGTTCGGAAGATTCACACCGGCACAAAGCGCAAGAGAGTACAAAACAGAGAGAACTCTGTTCTCTTTCTCCCCATCTGCACTAGCTAAATGTCAAGTAAAAGAGTCTAACCATACATGTCAGTGTTCCTGCTTCAGTGTTCCCAAGTAAGTACAGTGCACAAGCAATGACGGACCACCAGTCTGCCTGTCTGATATAACTAGAACTACTCAAGAGGGCTTTTCTGTGCAGGTAACAAGGCCGCACTGGCCAAAATGGTTTTACAAACTTGCTTGGATAAATGATTAAGGGCTGTGGTCTATACTGCTGCATTTAGCTTCTTGTAAGTAGGATCCTTTTGATACTGTCCATGGGGTTTTCTTTGGCCACCAAATGAGAAGGGAGCACTCACTGGAGAAGACCCTGATGCTGGGAAAGATTGAAGGTCAAAGAAGACGGGGACGGCAAAGGATGAGATGGTTAGACAGTGTCATAGATTCAACGAACATGAAGTTGAGCAAACTTCAGAGGACGGCGGAAGACAGGAAGGCCTGGCGTGATCTGGTCCATGGGGTTGCGAAGAGTCGGACTCGACTGTGCGACTGAACAACAAAAAGTAGGATCCTAGTTATGTAATTTCCCTACCGCTTAATGTGTCATGTGAATACCTATGCTACACTTTAGTTCTTTCTGGTGGTTCCAGATTTCTAAAACCCTAATGCATTGGCTACGGAATGTCCCATTTTGTCGATTGCACTGACTCATTATGTGTAATCTGCCTTGAGTCCTTATGAGAAAGATAGACTGCAAATGGCACAGATAAACAAATAAATAAATCAGAACACAGGAATGACTGTGATAAAGGCACAACCTTGTTCCTTTGGTTAAGACAAAACTGTGAAGGAGGAGGAGGAGGAGGAGGAGGAGACTGGATTTATACCCCACCCTTGAAGTCTCAGAGTGGTTTACATCTTTCCCTTCTTCTTTTTACAACAGACACCCTGTGAGGTAGGTGGGGCTGAGGGAGCTCTTTGAGAACTGCTCTTGAGAGAACAGCTCTGACACAACCGTGGCTTGCCCAAGGTCACACCATCAGCTGCATGTGGAGAAGTGGGGAACCAAACCTGGTTCTCCCAGATTAGAGTCCACACACTCCTAACCACTACACCAAAACCGGCTCTTTTACTTGGGTATATAACACAATTCAACTATATGAGCCTAAATCAAATGGATCAGTTCCCTTCCCATTCAAAAGGAGAATCATTTATGCAGCCCTTGCTCAGTGCTTTAGAATGATTTCTTTCTTTCTTTTTTTTAAAGCCACCTTTTGTATGGTATTATACTGTTCTGGGGGTTAACAAAGTGACATTTTTGTCTCATTATTTCCCCCTTTCATTGTGCACCACTCTACAATAGAAACACCTCTCTCTAATGCTGACTTCAAAACACTAGAAAATGCTCCTCATAAAAGTGCGGATTCAGGTCCTTTCTCACTGGGGACAATGACATGGCCTTTGGATATAGCCAGATTAACGTGGGGGCATGTGCCTTTGGCTGCTCCGGGAGCATACTGCTGTGCTAATCATGAAGTAGCCAAAGAATGGATTTAACAGCCTGTGAGGAAACAAAGTGAGATAAACGGTGACAGTATTTTCCAGCATATGTCAGAAAGCAGAGTAGTTTCAGGACTGCGGGTATCCATTGTCTACTAAAATCTAAGTTCATGAAATCAACCAGATGGGACTTTTGTAGAACTTTTCCCCCACTCATCGAATCCTTTGGATGGATCTTGTGCTCAACAGGCCAAAGCAAAGCTGACAACCCGATCCTGCCTTTTCTATGTACAGTAAAACAATCTTACTTTAATTTACCATACGTGTACCCCAACATGTCTTATGCCCATCGTTAAATTCATAACATTCACAATCACTAAAAACAAAACCACAAAGGAGTAAAGCAGCTCAAATACTTGCCATTAAGGATCCAGCTCAACTGACCCTATAGCATGAATAAGTAAACTAAATCCAGCAATTAATGCATCTAAACGTTTATAGCCACTGTATTTTGTGGTAGCAATTTTCCTCTTTTTAACAAAAATTCGAACCGCAGGATTCTTAGGAAGGCCTTCACAAACGGCTTGTTATTCATCCCCACATTCGTTTATATTTTGTACGGATGCTCCATGACAAACGACAATAAAGAAATCTAACCAGATCCATTTACATAATATAATGTTTTCCTGTAAGTACTCCGGCAGATTACTATCCCAATCGGTCAGGTATGTGTGAGGACTTTCTAGACAACAGGTGCTTTCTGAAACAAAATATAACCTCCTTTTCAACTCTCTAGGAGAATGAGGGAGCAGCTGCAACCATAATGCCCAGGACACATGGTCCATAAGACATGTGGAAGAAAAACATTCATTGTCTGACTTGTTAAGGTAAAGCACAGATGTCGGAACAACACCAAGTCCCATAAGGCGACTGTTGTCTCTGTTTCACGATGCTGATTTAGACACTGAGCTTTCAAACAAATTTAACAAGGAGCAAAATATGCTCAGCGAGACACCTGGAAGCTATCAATCTAAGAGATACATCTATTATAAATCATTCATGTATTACAATGAATATGCATTATCCGCACTTAAGTGATTTTAATTTACGTATCTAAGCCCATTTAACTGTTAACCTGTAACAAACTCATGAGGCCGTACATATATATTGCAGGGCTTCTTTGTCTATTTCGATGTTTAAAACAAACATGCTCTGTTTCCTTTTCCAATGCTAAATATCTGTGACTGTAAAGTCTTTTCTTGTAACATAAAATGAGCTGGATTCAAAGTCATCTCCTGCTAGCCAAGGGGCATTGCCACTCACATAAGAACAGGAGGCCAATTTTCACCTATTCCAATGCGGACTCCCACACACGACACACTTCATGCTGTCCTTGAGAGTTTCCCGACCCCCAGGGGTCATTTCGTAGAAAAAGAGCTAGGGGGACTCATTAGCATAATTCATTAGCATATGCCACACCCCCTGACACCTGCACCAATGCGGACTCCCACACACGACACACTGTCCACCGTCCTTGAGAGTTTCCCGACCCCAAGGAAAATATTTCAGAAAGTGAAGTTGGGCTGCGGCAGGAAAGGGGAGGTTTTCAAGCTCCATTCTGCACGCCGGCCTTGTGATCCAACCCAATACTTCTAGAGAAGCTTTCAAAAGGTTCTTCACACTTGTCGAAATAACCTGTAAGCTGTTCCAGCGCTACATGATAAACGGTAGGTAAGGAAGCCACACATCAAAGTTTGGTGTAGTGGTTAAGTGTGCGGACTCTAATCTGGGAGAACCGGGTTTGATTCCCCACTCCTCCACTTGCACCTGGCTGGATGACCTTGGGCAAGCCGTAGTTCTGATAAGAGCTGTCCTTGAAAAAAAGAGCAGTTTCTGTCAGAGCTCTCTCAGCCCCACCTACCTTACAGGGTGTCTGTTGTGGGGAGGGGAAGGGGAAGGAGTTTGTAAGCCGCTCTGAGACTCCAAGTGAAGGGCGGGGTATAACAGCTCTGACAGAACTATGGCTTGCCCAAAGTCATCCAGCAGCTGCAAGTGGAAGAGTGGGGAATCAAACCCGGTTCTCCCAGATTAGAGTCCCCGCACTTAACCACTACACCAAACTGGCTCTAAAACTAGAACTTTGCAGCAATTTATATCTGTTCTTATATGTCTAAAACTAGCACAACAAACAATCATTTTTGCCACCACCTATTTATTCAGACAGAGACAGACCGATCGAGACAATCATAGGGCCTAACTACATGTTATACGGTTTATGGATCCACCCCAGCTCCCGTCCAACTGATGTGCATTGGACGTTCTTTGGTTGTTGTTGTTGTTGTTTTGGCCCCCCGAAGAGGATTTTTTTATTGCATCGGACGTTCTTTGGTGGAGCATGCCGTCAAGTCACAGCTGACTTATGGAGACCTTGTAGGGTTTTCAAGGCCAGAGACATTCCTAGGTGATTTGCCACTGCCTGCCTCTGCGTAACAACCCTGGACTCCCTTTGCTGGTCTCCCATCCAAATACTAACCAGGGCCAACCCTGCGTAGCTTCTGAGATCAGACAAGGCCAGGGCCAGGGAAGCTGGATTTTTAAATTTTCAGGCACACAGCGACCCAGTTTGCATCAGGACTTAAGCCTTCCTCTCGGCACCAAATTCCTGTGAAATGGCCATGGGAAACAACTGTTTTGCCTTGCTGGGGAAAGTTATGTGAACTATTGGGCTACGTGCAATGTCATGGGCAGGGCTTTTGTTGTTGTTGTTGTTTTAAAAAAAAGAGGTGCTGGAACTCTCAGAGGGAAATGAAGTTTTCAATCTGTATACTGGAAACGCATGCATTTTTAAACATTTTAAAAATAATTTTGTCGAAGAGATTCCGGAACTCCTGCTGGCATGGTCCCCCAGAAAAAAAGCCCTGCTCATGGGTTAGACAGCTTTCCCCAATGGCAGCTCTGCAGGGCCATTTCAGATAGAGAAAACGATGCAGAGAGGAAGTCCCAATTCAAATTGGGCTGCCATACACGCCTGAGAATCCAAGTTTCAACCGTGGAATTCCAGCGTCTGTCAGCTCGACGTGATCCAGGGCACACATCAGGCAGACCCATAACCACTATAATACGTAGTTAGGCCTTTGGCCCGTTACACAGTTGAGAGAAATACTTACATGTATCTTCACATCCCCATCAAGGATCTTACTGTTCCGTAGAAAATCAGCTACGCTGCCATTCAGGATTCTGTCAAAAGCTTCAACGTAAGGTGCTACACCTGCAAGAGAAAAGAGAGCTGGCTGGTGAGGGCTTTTATGTTTTGAATGCCTTAATGCGAGAACATAATACAACTGCAAAAGTTTTGTATGCAATTCCTTCTGCCACAGCAAAATCAGTTATATGCTCAGCATATGTATAACAGTTCGACAGCACTAGTTAGTGCACAGTAGTATCTGCTATACATTATGCATTTATCTTAAAGAAAACATATTGGTGCCATCTCATTCGATCCAGAGGAAGATAAGGAGACGTGGGTATCAGATGATCAGAGGAAACTCTTGGTAGACCCTAGAGACATAGGGTTGCCAACCTCCACGTGGGGCCTGGATATCTCTCAGAATTACCACCAGGGGTCATTTCCTGCAGGAGCGCACAGGAGTGCAGCTCCGGCAGTAAAGAGCCCAGGGGGCGGGCACATCCAACAAGCCCCACCCCCTGCTCCCAGCAGCCCTCAGTCAGAGCAAGAAGCAGCCAGGTAAGTTGCAGAGCCCCCCCCCCGGCCCAAAACAGTCCAGTGGCACCTTGAAGACCAAGTTTTACTCAGGTACAAGCTCTCCCTCCTCTGTGAGGACAGATCTGCACGTCCCCCCCCCCAAATAGCTAGCAATCCAAAACAGTCCAGTGGAGCCTGAGCAGTGGGTGTTGCCTTCTGACACACTTCCGGTGACGTCAGGGGGTGTGGCATATGCAAATACGTTATGCTAATGAGTTATGCTAATGAGCTCCTGCACCTCTTTTTCCACAAAATGACCCCTGATTACCACTGATCTCCAGACTATATAAATCACTTATTTATTTATTTATTTATTTATTTATTTATTCGAAACATTTATTCCACTTCTCCTGGAGAAAACAGCTGTTTTGGAAGGTGGACTGCACGGCATTATACCCCACCAAGGTCTGTCCCCTCCATAAGGAAGAAGAGAAGAGACTGGATTTATACCCCGCCCTTCACTCAGAGTCTCAGAGCGGCTTACAAACTCCTTTCCCTTCCCCTTCCCACAACAGACACTCTGTGAGGTAGGTGGGGCTGAGAGAGCTCTTTCCAGAACTGTCCTTGAGAGAACAGCTCTGACAGAACTATGGCTTGTCCAAGGTCATCCAGCAGCTGCAAGTGGAGGCGTGGGGAATCAAACCTGGTTCTCCCAAATTAGAGTCTGCGCACTTAACCACTGCACCAAACTGGCTATCTCATAACCCCCACTCTCCCAAGCTCCACCCTCAAACCTCTAGGTATTTCCATACTTGGGAGTTGACAACCCTACAGTGACATTTGTTCAGCGCATTGCTGACAAAATCATTTGCATCCAGTGTGAGTTAGACACCATTCTGGATGCAGTACAAGGTGTTCCTAGAAAACCATCTGGTCACATGTGCATGGGTAAACTTCACACCGCAGCTTGAAGATGGGCTCTGAATGCTTGGAGAGGTGCAGTCCACCACCTGTCAGCTCAATCCTTGCCAGTCTTGGATTTAACGGGGGCAGGGAGAAGTGACTGGTTGGTTCCAGGAGATGGTAAAGGCCTGACTGCGAGACGAAATGGTTCTGTACACCTTGATGGGGGCAGTTATGAAACCACTCATTAAGAAAGCCTCCCAGGCACCCCCTTAGCCAGGAATTTGGGGGGGGCAGGGGCCTCGGGGCGGACAGTTAATTGAATCAAAATTAATTAAATTAATTCAGTTTGGGGCCAGCCCAGGTGGGAGGGGGCTTGGAAGAAACACTAGTGGGGAGGGCCCCATGGGCCCCGCGCTAGCTACGGGCCTGCTCCTAGGACCTAGTCCCAGACCACTGGAATTTGCTGTTTGTCTTCTCCTCCATTTGGGACAAGGTCCTTAAGGAGAAAAAGTGTGTAGAGTATTTTTGTGCTGGAATAATTTCAAACACAGAACTTCTCAAGACATGGCAGCTCTTCCTCCTGGCATAGCCATGTTTAAGAGAAACTTTCAAAGCACTACATGGGTAGAGACTGTGGTACTTGAAGGACCATTGTCTTCTCATATCAGCCTGCCCAGGATTTGAGGTCTGCATAGGAGGCTTCCTCTGGGTTTCCCCAGCAGCAGAGAGCAAGCGAATGGCACTCAGAAAGAGGGCCTTTTTGGTGGTGGTATCCCCCACTTATACTGAGAAGAAGGGTTCCCAGAGAGATTCGTGAGACTCCTCCTCATTAACTTCAACTTGGTGCCAAGTTAAGACATTTTAAAGACCTGGATCTATTTTATGTTTCTGCTTTTTAACTGGAGCTCAACTTGATTTTCTCCAGCTTTATATGCAGCTATGTTTGCTTCTGTTTTTATTTTATTTTTTCTGGGTTTTTTAAAAACTTTGATTTGATTGCATATCATTTTGTGGACATTTTCAAAGTGGAAAAACAGCTTGTATGATTTCTATATAATATATAAACAGAAGACAGGAAACTTTCAGTCTTCAGGTCACGCGTAATCCACTGACCCATCTTTTGGAATCCTCTCTCCCCAAAATACACCTGCAGAAACGATGTGCCCACAATCCTCTATTAATTATACCACATATCCCACTCCTTCAAGAAGTTTAACCTCCTTGAATGCGCAGGGGTTATAGCTAGTGTGGCCTTTCCAGAGAAGCACCATGCAGCTCTTGTTGCAGAATGGAGAATGGCTTCAACCCAATGATACTCATCTTTTGTATAAAATAGTAATCTTAATTTAATCCAGGGGTGTCAAACAGAAGGCCCGGGGGCCGGAACTGGCCCACCCAGGGCTCTTATGCGGCCTGCAAGCAACTAGTGCAAGGGAGGGAAAAGGAGACTGCTCAAGGCAGAACAGGGAGAGCCACTCCAAGTGTGGCTTCAGCATGGTGGAACAACCTCGTCTGCAGCAGTCAAGAAGCGTGGGAGTGTCTGCCCAGTGCTGCACTGCTGGCTCTCTAGTCTGCCCGTATGGTTTTCCTTTGCACCCCCCTCCCAGCCTATGAGGCCTTGCAGCGAGGATACACCAAAAAGAAGAAGAAGAGAAGAGATTGGATTTATGTCCCGCTCTTCACTTGAAGCCTCAGAGCGGCTTACAAACTCCTTTCCCTTCCCCTCCCCACAACAGACACTCTGTGAGGTAGGCGGGGCTGGGAGAGCTCTGAGAGAACTGTCCTTGAGGGAACAGCTCTGCCAGAACTGTGGCTTGCCCAAGGTCATCCAGCAGTTGCCAGTGGAGGAGTGGGGAATCAAACCCAGTTCTCCCAGATTAGAGTCCGCGCACTTAACCACTACACCAAACTGGCTCTCAAGTCAGAGCTTACCAGTTCAGAGCTTACGAGTTGCTGTCCTTTATACAGTTTATGTCTCCGGTATCTGGCATTACATTTTATGGCAAATATGGCCTGGCCAGACAAAGTGACTTTTATGTCAGATCCGGCCCTCGTGACAAATGAGTTCGACACCTCTGATTTAAGCTATTTTCTTCCTGCCTGCCTGCCTGCAGTACAATCTATTTCAGAGCTACTCCACATTTTGACACTACTGCTGGCTCATGAGAGTTCAGTGTGGTTAAAAAGTATATTATACCGAGGGATGTGTGACTCCAGTCATCCATCCTGACAGTTTTCACAGGGAGACAGGCTTGCGTAGCTCCCGTTTCTACTGCGGTTGCCAGCACACTGCGGGAGCAATGGGGCTGCCGGATGCCACTTCTTAGTTTGTACATTCTCAGTACTATCTGTGTGAATAATGTATATTCAAGCATTTGAAAAACGCTTCTCTCTTTTCCCCCCCAGTGCCTTGACTGTTCTGACTTGCACCACCAGAGAGAAAATAGGTTTATACAAACGAAAGGAGACGGAACAGAGGTCAGGCTGCCTCTTCTGTATCATTTGTCTTTTCCTCTCACTTTTAAGCCCAAAGAATTTTCTGGGCTTCATTCATGTGATGAATGTATATGCTTGCCTAGCTTTTTCTTATATGAAACTCTTTCACATGGATTTTAATAGTGAAGAACAAATCACCCTTTTCTAACCCTCTTCTTTGTCTTTAGGACTTCGTGCCAGGCTTCACAATGAACTCAGATGGTCGTCTAACTAACAGTGCCACTCTCAGCAGAGTTAATCCAATTTAAGCCCATTAATTTCAATGGGCTTTAGAGTGGAGTAACTGTACAAAGGATTCATCCAGGTGAGGAGCCATGCTGGTCTGAAGCAGCAGAACAAAGTTTTGAGTCCAGTGGGGCACCTTGAAGACCAACAAAGTTTTATTCAAGGTATGAGCCTTCATTTGCACGCCACACTTCCTCAGATACAATGAAATGGAATTTACTAGTCCCTACCTATAAGGCAGAGGTTAAACAGCAAATTAGCATAAAGCATAATGAAGATGTTTTAACATTCATTGTATCTGAGGAAGTGTGCATGCACTCGAAAGGTCATACCTTGAATAAAGCTTTGGGGGTCTTAAAGGTGCCAGTGGACACAAACTTTGTTGTACAAAGGATTGCACTACAGATCTATCTCCCACTTTCAGTACTAATCAGCCTGAGGGAGGCAGGACTGAATATCATTCATATTCACTTGAGGTAAAAAAAAATGGCAACCACCCCATGGCATTTAAAGTTCTCAGCTTTCCAAATAAAGAAGACTGAATCGTACCTCCATCAACTCCATTGACACTTCCACATTCCATTCCAGCAACCTTGTGTGCATTCGACAACAACGACTCAAGCTTAACTACAGCGCTTTCCAGCCTCTCCATCAAACCCTGCGTCTCCGCCATTCTGAAAACCTAAATAAACACACAAACATTATTTGCTGTTTCGTTTCAAGTAACAGACTTCAGACTGAAAACGTAAATAAACACACAAATATTATTTGCTGTTTCATTTCAAGTAACAGACTTCAGAGGAACGTTGAACTGTGTTATCTAGACCAGCTTTCCTTCGGCTGCTTAAAATGTGTTTTCCATGTAGTTAATACATTATCATCAATGCTATCTTTTTGTTAGGTACATCAGATTCCAAATGCATGTCGCTTTAAAGTAGATTACATTTGTTGGTATTTGATCTCTGTTAAGATACAAAACATAAGAACAATTAAAATACTCAGCCTTGGCTACCTTCCAAAACTTCCTTAATTTATTTCACAAGTTCCACACATTTTGTGTTGTTCACTTAAGGCTGCGAACGCTTTATCCTGCTAAGTGATTTGAAGGATAAGCACATGTTATTTTCTAATGAACGTCTCTGCTAAAGGTGTAAATCCCCAGGAGCTACCAAATAGCAAAGACTAGAATGAGTACAGTTCCAGCATTCACAACGCTTCACGCAACTAATTCTTAATGACCGCCCTGTAAGCTTGTATCATTATCTCCAGTATTACAGATACTGAGCTGAGTTGAGAGAGCAGCATGGTTGAACTAACGGGAATGGATTTGAACTAGAGACCTCCATGGCCACTGTCACAAGGGCCCCGGCCACATGGGAGGATTTGCCCCGCAAGAGGGATAGATCGGGGGCACATCAAGCGGGCGTGATCACACTGCAACATCTGGGAAGCGTCACGCACCCGTCCCCAATCTGGCCCTTCAGCCCGAAAACGCGCATTTAAAAGGTACTACCTTTTGAGTACTACCTTCCGGATGATGCGCGGCAACTCCAGGCATCTGGTAGCCCGTCGCAGCCAGCGCCGTTCCCTGTCCCACGCATGTGCACAACCGTGCTACTGTTGGTTTGCTGCACAACATGTGATCAGCTGCCAGAGCACGGAGCCGCGGGGGCATGTCGGATCGTGCTCCCGCAGTTATTTTTACTCCGGCTCTAATTTGCCTCCCTTCAGCAGCGGATCATCCCGCTCGTGTGACCGGGACCAAGGTTACACCACCAATCAAAGCCAAGATGAATTCCTAAACAAACAAAAGTCTAAGGGTGCTCTAAAGACTGTAAAAAAATAATTCCAGCATAAGCATTTATTGACTGGAGCAGGGGTAGCCAAACTCCCTTCACATAATAGCCACATCGAATAAACGTCAGATGTTTGAGAGCCGCTAGACATGAACAAAAATTACACGTTTTTACTGGTAAATATGCAAATTTACTTTTTATTAACATTAAATGAGACTGCCAAAAATAATATCAAAAGCAGTAAAAGCATATATTGATAATGATATTTATTTGTCCAATGATATATGTTTGCTAATTGTGGCCCCGGTCACACGGGCCGGATATTGCGG